GTTTTGCCTTTGACTATTTTGAGTATAGTACTTGAAAAAGATAACTTTTGAAGCATTACAAGCAATGTGGAACTGGTAAAATATAAACGTGTAATTGAATTCATGGAATCAAGTTCTAACAGCTTGGGGGGGGGTCTGTTAACTTCAGAGGGGTTTGTATTCTTGTATTTCAAATTTTAAAAAAAGTATTTTAAATTGGCAATCCTATTATGTGGGCATCAGAGACTTCTGAGTAAGCACATGAAATGGGTTGCGCAGAACTAAATGTTTAGGACTTATAGCTCTTTAGCATTTATTTAGCCACAAGGCTTTTCTCTCTCTCCTCTCACATGCACATGAGTGTGTGTATATATATACCCATATATATATTTTATACATATATATATGTATATGTATATATATATATATATACACCTATATATATATTTTATATATTATACACACACACACACATATGTGTCTGTGTGTGTGTGTGTATTTGTTATGCCATTGTAATGGTATATATAGCTGCTCTTAGTTGCCAGTGTTATATGCTGTTAGTGACCTGGTTTTAAAATCCTTGGGTTGTACAGTTCCAATTAGCTGCTATATTCTCAGCTAGGGTTTAATTTATATCTTAAAATATAAACAGGTTTTAGTCCCAAGTAAAAGCATTGCAGTCATAAAATCCTTTGTATTTTTTTGTAACTAGTTTTTCACATCTAGAAATAATAGGCTGGACCTCAGAGGAAGCAGGTTTCATAATTTTGTTTTATAAAAGGGCCTTTCAACCCTGTGGAACAAATTGGCTGCAAAGGAGGGGGGAAATGAGCAAAATTTGCTGCCTTCTGAGGAGAGTTCAGTGAGTTGGCTCATGGGAAATCTGAATCCAAGTTGCTCAAATCCAATCTAAAACATTTGGGGGGGGGGTTGCTATTCATTCTTGTGTTCTCTAGCCTGTGGAAACAAATTAATATATGAGCTTCTTCATTCAGCCTGATAAGAAATTATTTAATGACATAATTAGGTATTCAGACTTGCTGCAACAGTCAAGTGAGGAAGGTAATTTAGTTTCTGGAAAATGCTATTAAAATAAGTTGTGTATTTTAGTATAAGGGGAGTCAGTTAAACACATTAAAATGTATATTGTCATGTTGTAATATGTGCCATGGATGATTGAGTAAAGAAAGGACTTATGGGATAGTGTTCCATGGATGTCATTGAGTTTGACATTTGTTTTAGGATTTTTTAAATGAAATACTTCCTCCAAAAGAATCAGGTTAGGAAGAATTTCTGTGAATTGGTATTCTGCAACTCCCATTCTAGAGCAGAAAAATTGTCAAAGCATTGGGTCCTGGTTGTTTTTATCAGCTCTTGTCTACTGGCTGTGAATAGGATTGCCTACTAATATTAACTTTTTAATCTTATTATTAGACAATATAAATGCAGGCTCTTCTATGAAACTAGTTTTTGGAGGCTTGTAGACTTTTTAGCAACTAGTAATACAGATTCTTAGTAATCAGTAACTTTCAGAAGAGTAGTAGACGGTCACTGTACTGCAAATATTAAAAGTTATTTCATTTAACTTAGGCTAGTGATTCTGAGCGAGAGGCCAATGCCCCAGAGAAATCATCTCCTGATAGAGAAAAGAAAAAGGAACGATCGGATGCATCCAGTTCACCTAGAACTTCAAAACACCATTATTCAAGGTCACGTTCACGATCAAGAGAAAGAAAACGAAAATCAGGTATGAAAGTCTCTAGCTGTTTGTTTCCATTATTAAATTTTGTTAGTGGACACACTTGTAGTTTAGTGGTTGCTTTGATTAAGATAGTAATTTGTTACAATCTGTGTAACTTTAATATAAACATATTTAAAATCAAAATGCAACTTTTTGGAATTTAAATTATAAGTTCAAAGTTTAGAGTTCTATATTCAAGATAGAATAGCTAATTGACTAAATACTTCAGGCCTCAAAATTATGTTGAGCCTTGTATCAGAGAAGGGGGTTGGGAATATTGACATTTCCAACTGTATTGTAAATCAGTGAAATAGCTTAATCATTAATATCACTGTGATTGGAGCTTATGTAGATGGAGATTACTTTTTAAAACTCTATATTTGATGATTAATAGATGCTTCCTTCTTTAGATAATGACGGAAAAAAATACAGAAGCCGGAGCAGAAGCAAAGAGGTAATTAATACTTTGTAGTGCTTGGGTATTTGTGCAGGACATATTTACAAGTATGTCATAGCATGTATAAATCTTAAGATATAATTGTCTAAATGGTAAGTACGAAAAAAAAAGTAAATTCAGAAAGTGCTTGGAGTGAGAAGCATGAGTGAAGCCATCTTTATAACAAAAAGGTAATAATTGACCAAAAAATTCATGTGGAGATTTACTGTGGAAACAACCATTATAAACATATTAATATATCAGATTCCCACAGAGCTTCCATTCACTAGAGTTCAGCTAAGCATTTGCAAAGTTCTTTTGCCCATCTCGTTCCACCCCCACCCCTAAGTTTTTCTCACTATTTGGGTGAGGACATTGCTGGAGTTTTCCTATGGTGGGGATTGTCCATACAGCAGGAGTCACAGAAATAGAAATGGTCTTGAAGCAGAAGCAAGGGGATCGAGATGAGGCAGCCAGAGTAATACCACTGCTAGGGGATCACTGGCCTCTAGTGCAGAGGCTGTCTCAGAGAAGGAGCATCAGCAGTAGCTAGAAAATTATACCTAAGTTCTGCTGGATAGCTTTAGATGAAATTTCTTAATGTGGGACCAGGGACATTTTTCCCCTTTGCCAATGGAAGCTCTGTTAAAAAAAAAAAAGTAGGAGAGTATTTGTGAAATTGACTATATTGTTTAGATCACATGATAACATTTCTATAATAAATCATACTCAGCGTGCTAATGCGCGAAGAGACTGAACTGAAGACGCTCCAGACTCAGATAGCAAAATTATAAGCCTACTTCATGATAAGGTAACTATTAGTCATTCAAACTCATATTTCCCTTGCAAAGAAATTTAAATCAGTTATTGGATATAATGGTGTTTTTTTAAAGTACAGACTATATGTTTAGAAGAGTATTCCGTTATGTTTAAAAAAAGTGTTTCCCTCAAAATGTATAAATTTTTTAAAACTGTTAGACCTGTACTACTTTGATTTTAAATTCCAGGGGAATAGAACTGCTATTAGTATTTGATATTTCCGTTGATGTTTGACCCGATATCTTTAGAGTAAGTGATTGTCCTAATCTGTAATGCTTAAAAGCTAATTGAATAAAGGGTTATTCCTAGTTCTCCTAGTAATTTTACATGAACAAAAAGGAAGGAGGACGGGAACGATATGGGCATCACACGGTTTTGGAGAAACATCTACCACAGTTAGTCCATAAATTACCTCTGCCTTGGCAGTTGGGTTTCTTCCATCTTTGTGAGTTTTCCCATTTTGGGTATGTGATAACTATATAGTTTACACTCTGTATTTTAATAATTTTCAGTAGTTGCCCAAATAGTTTCATATTGGAAACTTATCTGGAAAAAAAAATGTTAGTAATTGTAGTGGCTTAACACTTACCTAAGAATAAGATGGTGTCATGAATATCTGTCTTCAACAAGTTGATTGAATTGTATGTATGTAGTATTGGCTTTTATTGTGGTTACTAGGACCTGGAAGACATAAACAAATATATGAATGTTTTAAGGATTACCTGTGCAATTGTTTCTGGGTGTGATTCCAGTATGATTTATAGAGAAAAACACATCTGTGCAGTAAAAGTACAGAAAAGGAAAGCTGCAGAGAAGCTTTACCCAAATTTTAGAGAAACCAAACACTGAATGGTAAAAAGTCTGCTACAAAAGAGCCCAGATTGTTGCAAGTTCAATACAAGATGTTGCTGAATACTGGCTACTTGACATAGAAGGTTTTAGGCTGAGGATCCATTGTACAACCAAACCTCAATTTGGATGTTGTAGAAGGATGGCCAGTAGATCTCCTGCCACGTTGCCTGATGAGCTTGTACACAAACCTTTTTCATGGGTCTTACCCTGTGTGTGCTCATATGATTTCTCTGGGGTGCCTAGAGACAGTGTGTTTTCTTTTGTGGATGAGGCTGCCAAACACTCAGAGAACAGCCGTTCTGTCTCATGATGTAAAACTGGCTGTGGCAGGAGATATTTTAACCTTGTGGAGCGAGATTTAAGTTGGGTGGGAAGGAATGATGGTATGTCTCTGCAACATTGTGTAGATGGTGGTGTTAAAGCCATTGCAGTTGACTGGGCCACGCTCCTAAGGTTACTAATGTTGCATCACAACATATCATTCTTGATCTTCTAATGCCCATACTAACTCTTTTTGTTGCACTATTTTCCTGAAAGAACCAACTTCTTCTTAAAACAGGCACGAAGACATGGGTCCAAAGAGAAGTCCTCTAAGAAGCACAAATCTGAAGACCATAACGATAAAGACCACTCTTCAGATAAAGGGAGAGAGAGCCTGAACTCTTCTGAGAATGGTGAGGATCGGCATAAGCGCAAGGAGAGGAAGTCCTCGAGAGGGCGCAGCCATTCAAGGTCTCGATCTCGTGAAAGGTAGATTAATAGTTTTTCCATAATATTTGTTTGGAGAGAATTTGGGGATTGTTGATCCCACTCGCAAAGGATGTGAATGTGCTAAATGTAAATCTTGAGTTCTCCTACTTAGTGGATGTTATTGTCTTCTAACATCTGTCATACTCTCACTCTAAGCATTTGCATCAACATATCTATGTGCAGTGGTGGTGCAACATTGTGTGTCTTCATAACTGGATTTTGCTGTCACTGTTTGTGTCTTCCGCCTAGATCCAAGCTGTTATACTTACTAGATTGGGGGTGGCGGGTTATGCAGGCAGGATCTTGGACTGTTTTTCTTATCTCAGATATAGTAGTTCTGTCAAGTCCTTAACCTGGGCCAGTAATTTTTTCTGTAGAATGGCAATGCTGAGTAGTGTTTTTGCCCTAATTTCAGGTGAATATGTGCTGTTTAACATAAGCCTAAAGGCTTTCTAAGTTACTTTTATTTTTTTTATATACTCTCAAACAGAAAATAATGGAGATAATACTTCATTTTATTTGTAATTAAATGGAATAGTCAAGCTTGGAAAGGTTAATAGGAATTTGGCATGTGATTCCAGGCGTTACCGTAGTAGAAGCCGCGACAGAAAAAAGTCCCGCTCCCGCAGTCGAGATAAAAAGCGGCGTGCTAGATCAAGGTCTAGATCCAGATCTAGACACAGACATAGAAGTCGGAGCAGGAGCAGAACCAGGAGCAGGAGCAGGTATGTTAATGCTTGTTTTTGAATATGAGAACAGTAAACCTACGGGATGTGATAGTGAAAACGAGAATGTACTGTGTCAGACGAGGAATTATGAAGCAGGAAAAAATGAAAGTGCAGTCTTAATGTATGATTCTGAACAGGGAAAGAAAGAAGAGACCCGAAAAACCACGAAGGTTCAGCAGAAGTCACAGCCGAACTCCTAGTCCCCCGCCCTTTCGGGGGCGAAACACAGCAATGGATGCGCAGGAAGCATTGGCCAGAAGGTACGAGACCCTTCTCTCAAATGTTTACATGCCTTGATTGTAGTTTTCTTTGATCTTTTCTAAGCGATGACAAGGATGCTGTGGTAAGTGCCCCCCAGTTAATAATCTCCATAAAGCTGGAAGTAGGAAAATTACTTCAGCCCCCTGTCATTGTTATCAAATGTATCTGTTAAACTTGAATTAAGAAGCAGCAACAAAAAAAAGTACTCTTTCAATATTAGGAAATCTGTGACTTGTGTAGCTTTTTCAGGGATGATACTCTCCTTACTGTTTTGTTTTTAAATGAATGGTACAGTATTGAGGTGGGGCAATGAGAATCCCCTTTGACATATTTCTGCATTATTATTCCTAGGTTGGAAAGAGCAAAAAAATTGCAAGAACAGAGAGAGAAAGAATTGGTTGAAAAGCAGAAGCAACAGGAAATGGCTGCTGGTAATTGAACTTCCATTTAAAAGAAATGAAGTTAATATGTTTCACCATTTTATTTCATTTTGATAAATCTCTTTTCCACTCTTCTCCCACTTCTAAAAATACATCAGCCAGAAAATTAGAAGGGTACACGCTTGGGCAAAAGCTGTTAAAGTTGTCTGCCAAAAGTGCGTGTACTATTTTCCATGAATAGTAAACCTTGCGGATTAGACAGCTAGTGCCTTTTGAAGAATAACGTTGTAATGTTGGTTTCAGCGGCAGCTGCCACCGGCGGTTCAGTCATCAATGTCGCAGCTCTCCTGGCCTCCGGGACACAGGTCACTCCTCAGATAGCCATGGCGGCCCAGATGGCAGCCCTGCAAGCCAAGGCTCTGGCAGAGACAGGAATAGCAGTCCCAAGCTACTACAACCCGGCAGCGGTGAACCCCATGAAGTTTGCCGAGCAGGAAAAGAAGAGGAAAATGCTGTGGCAGGGCAAAAAAGAAGGGGTAACTCTCTTTGCTGCTCTATCTCTGGGTGGCTGCCAATGGGAAGTTGCAGGGTTACACCTGGCTGTGCAGCTCATGACAGTTCGGGGGTTTTTGGAATTCTTTGGTGGGATTCTGTTTTGAGGAGCTCATCCACGGAGCCATTAATAGCCAAGCTACGGTAACTAGATCTTGCTAGAAGGAGTTCGAAGGGGAGAGCACAAGGGGGTGAACGGGTTAGAGGAATGCTGAGGAAGAAGAGAAAACTACCGATGTGTAGGAGAAATCTTTTGCTGGTTGCTACCTGCTGGGTTTTTAAAGTGGTTCTTCTTTCACAGTATGAATACACTTCTGTACACAACCTGTAACAACTTACTCCTTTATGTTTTTATAGGATAAATCACAATCTGCAGAAATCTGGGAGAAACTGAACTTCGGAAATAAGGACCAAAATGTCAAATTTAGAAAGTTGATGGGTATTAAGGTAGGTGTTTCTGAAATGAGCATTGTCTTTACGCCAGAAAGATCAGTGTGAAGAGGCCTGTATGGTCTTGGAAGGCATACAGGCTATGAAACAGACTTCAGAGTTGTTCATAGAGTGAAGTCAGATTTGTGATGTGGCTGCATGAATTAATAGATAAGCTTAAACACTGTGAACTGCAGAAATGATGAAGATGGTCTCCTGGGGATCTGCTCTCACCCTTGCAGGCCCTGTAAGCATTCCAGAGTTCCTCCAACTTTTCAGAGCAGATTTGGAGGCGCTCAGGTGGGGAGAGAGCTTCTGCTCCACTGCTTGGTAACTGGTGAAAATTATGGGAGCGTTAACTGAGACTTGTAGTAACAAAGTCCTCTGCGAATCTTTGTATCTGAATCTTTATGATGTACTGTTGTTAAGTTGAATGACGTGTATCGGAGCAGAATAGTTGAGTGACACCTCTGTTGATCCTTTCCACCTGTTTCTCCTAGAGCGAGGAGGAAGCCGGGGGTAGTAGTTCAGTGGATGAAGAAAGCTATAAGACTTTGAAACAGCAAGAAGAAGTATTTCGAAATCTCGATGCGCAGTACGAAATGGCACGGTCACAAACACACACCCAAAGAGGAATGGGATTGGGCTTTACATCTTCAATGCGAGGAATGGACGCTGTTTGAAGAAACGTCATCCGAAAGCTTGAGACCTCGAGATTCTTGTTCAGACGTTGGGTCCTTGCTCACCAAAAGCTAGCATCCTAGCTTGCATGGGTGTTACATTGACTTTAATTTATTGACATTACAATTTTTGTAAATATCAGATCAGTGATAACTGGTGTTCCGTGTTGTAATCAGGTTATGCTCCCTCCGTTACACGCGGCAGAGCTCTAGGAGGACGTTTCTAGCTCTGTGGTTTTAAAACAGAACGGCTGAGGGTGAACTCATACACGGATATTTTGTGTCCACTGTGTTGTGTACTTTTGTACTTTAAACCTGTACAGTTGTTTTCAACTCTTGAAGCATAAAACACATTGTATTGGTGTTAAACTAGCAGATTGGGCCAGTGGGTCCATAATGCAGTGCAGCAACCTGGTTAATAAACACGTTTTTCTCAAAGAGTGTTGTATTTAAGTACAGCAGACAAATTATTTCAAGCTTAATTTCATGGAATATATTTAACTTTTTAGAAAAGTGCTCACCCCAGTGTAGAGAAGTAGAGGACAGAGTTAAAGGAGATAAAGTAGGGGATAAAGCATGCAGCAGGTTTTAGTATTAGATGTGTGTTACTTACTTGTTAGCTATATCAAAATACTCCATCCTAACAGATGATGCTCCTCCCCCAGATGCAACAATTCTCTACCCTGTGGTTCCCGCTTTAGGCCACTTCATTCTGTGACACACCAAGGAGAACACCTCCAGCTACTTCAGCAAAAAAATTCAGTTGAAATAGCTTAGATTTCCTGTTTTGAGTAGTAAACACATGCCATTTCTGCTTTGTTTCAAGGCATGAGATGCGGGTTTGTATCTGACCCCCCACCCCTGAGAACGCTGTTCGCTCAGTCTAGAAGCACACAGGGCTCTCAGGATCAGTCTGAAGCCTACGTTAGAGAGGCAAAGAGTTGCTCCTTTGCCTCCTTCGGACAAATGTGCAGTTTCCTGCTCTGCTGCTGTTAGGATAGAACGTGCATTACCCTGACACTGAGCAAGATGTCAGCCCCTGCCTGCTTCGCAACACGCGCTCTGGAGAAGCAAAGTAGGAGTGCTGTGCTAGTCTGTGGTCGCCCAAATCAAAAGGCAGCTGGTTATTTATTAGTCCTGCTACCAGACTTCTGCTTTCTAGAGAGGCAACTATATGGGTGGCCTATAATGAGGAGCACCGTTAATAGATGTTGGTAGGGTGGCTCTGGGGCTCCGCCTACCATTATAAATTGGACAAATTCACCAGATGCAGACGTTACACTGGGGCACACAGTATGTTACAAACTGCTTTTGCTGATCCATCCTGTGAATATTGCTGTAATCTGTCTTTCCTTGCAGCTCCATCTCCAGTGATGGAGAAGAGCAGTTGGACTTAATGATCACCTTTCTGGCCCCTGTAAGACGGAGCCTGCAGCCCCGTCCGTTTTAGGAGGGGAAGGGCATTAAGGAAGGATCCCAAAGGTCCAAGGGTGGAGAAGCCAGTTACTTCCCTGAGCTACGTTCACTTACCCGGTCCGTTCCCGTACGCTGCAGGTTGCAAGCTCCTTGCAGGACACCCAGCTGGAGAGAGGGTTTCCTCCAGGAAAACCCACAGCCCGGAGCTCTGCCACGTAGTGGGAGAGAGGAGGCCGGCTATCAACTTCCGCAAGGTACGTGGCCGGTTTCAGGGTTAGATGAGTATTGCATCTGTACCCACTGTTCTAGAGCAGTGTTTCTCGACCGTGGCGGCTCGAAGTTCCGTGGACTACAACTTCCCCCTGCTGGCTGGGGAATTCTGGGAGTTGAAGTCCACGCATCTTCGAGCCGCCAAAGTTGAGAAACACTGGTTTAGTGCAAGCACAGTGGCTTTGGTTACCATTTTCTGTGAATCCAGAAGAATAGTGTGCGCATATCCATACTAGTGATGGATTTTATTCTCTTAGGAGCTGGGCAATTTAGTACTCCATCCTTTCATGCCGTCCCTGAGCCATCATAATTATCTCGCCGCTGGCGCCCTTTCCCAGCATTCCGGGCTGGCAAAGCAGCGCCAAGAGGCCGCCAGCCCCGCCCCGCTCCGCACGCCGAACCTCGGAGCGGAAGCGCTCGCCCGGTCCCAGCATGCACCGTTCCCGAGTCGAACTACAACTCCCGGCATCGACAAGCCCGCTCGGGCCTATGGGCGGCCACCCTTCCCCCGTTGCATGCTGGGCGCCGTAGTCTTCCTGCGCTGAGAGGCGGAAGGCCTCGGATGAAACCCCGAGCCTGGGTTCTGCGGCGGCGCCGGGCCCTGGGCGCCTTCT